GCACTGAATTAACTCTCTTCTGCACTGAATTAACTGAAAACTGCATTCATCTTAACCAATCAGAACTGAGAAATTTTTTCATGTATATTATTAGGTCTGAAATCATATGTGTGACTTCTAAATCAAACAAGTGTGCAGCATGAGTTTGATTTGAAATCACAAGATAGTGTGATTTCAGACCAAAATTGCATGGCATGAAGTTCAATTGCCACTTCATTACATACATTTTGGAAATGCAAAATTCACTTGTAGAATTTTTTTTTTTGTGTACAAGTGTTAGGTTGATCCACTTGTGAGCTGGTTTGTAGAAAGTTACAAAGGCTGTTTTCCATTTTCCTGCAATTTGATTGGTTTTTTTCCACCAGCAATTGGTTAATAAACCTTCCCTGTATACTGGGAACAATATGTGATTTAGAGCCAACATGGTGCGATTCGGGAGTTACTTGCACCAATGAGAGCCAATCAAGTTACAAGGATCACCAGTGATTTAAAAATGGATGTAAAAGAATGAAAATTCAAATTGATAGATAGATCAACCACATTTCTACAGGACAACGATTTTAAAGATTGCTAAAGTTGTACAAGATTATAAGCAATCATTACTTTCTGTTTTTTGTACCAAGACACCAAACCTAATGCCTTAACTTACTAAATGACTAGCTAACTGCCTTGGTGAATAACTCAATACGGAACGAATAAATAAATTGTGATGTAATTCACAACAACAAATCAGTTATAAGTCCAAACTACTTGTGGTTTAGTTCCGTTATAGAAATCCTCTAAAGAACCTCCTTAGAATTTTACACCCACTACGACTAAATTTTAAACATTTCGAGCAGGTTAAGTAAACCAGTAAACAAGGCTTAGCTATAAATAAGTTTTCAAGTATTTAAGAATCCGAGGTTATTAATAAAAATAGCAAGCATCCACGGGGTCCAAGAAATGATATCGGCTCGCATAGCATACCTGTCAACTTTGTACTAAGTAAGCAAGATTTTCCTTCGCTGATGGGAAGACACCAAAATCCGAATAGTCAAGACAACCTCTACAAAACCCACAGCTTTTCGCAGCTTTGGAGTCAAGAACCTCTTCCGGCCTAGCGACCACGTCTAGAACCTCGTTCCCAGTGTCCTGTCACTTCCTTCGTCGGGTCCAGACAAGAAAGCTGTTAACTTTGTCGACAAGATAGCAGGACAAAAGCTGAACGAAAACCTGATGAGAGAAATAGAAGAAGATTCGGAAATTTGAGTGTGTGGATGAGGAGCTGTGTCGATCAGTCTTACAGCTTGTCAGCAATGACTCCAGTTTTGGTTCAGAGTGAATCATTTCATCTTTAATCGTGGGGGACCCTGACGATAAAGTGACACGATAAACGAGACCAGCACCAGTTTTCTTTTTTCTTATTTTTATTCAATTATGCGAATCAAGAAAAATCCATTACCTGACTCGTGATTCCGCGTTGAATTACACTTGAAAACTGATTTCGCACTCATCGCTTCTCGATTTCGGTTTTAGCGCGCAAGTTTACGCGGAACCCCTCGTCAGGTAAAAGAGATTTTCCTGTTACATAAAGCCGGCCAAGACCTCCGTATCCTTTATTCCTTTGTTCAACTAAAATTCTCTCAGTTCTGACAAGAGGGAAAAAAAAAAACAGTTGTGCATCACCAATCTGCACTAGAATACGGGTGTTGCTAAAAGGAGGCCCGCGGCCCGCGACGGCTCAGCGGCCTGGTAGCCCGAAGGCTCAGCGGCCTGCAACGGCCTGCGACCCAGAGATCCGGTGGTCCAGTCCTGATTCTTCGCAATGTTCTTTGTCCAGCAGAAAAGTCACGCGCATGCACAGTCCTGCATCGGGTTTAGGCGTGCAAAATGGACGACAGCGAGTTTGAATTCGTTTTACCATTTAATCATTTGAATCCTTGTTTCTGTTTGTTGCATGTTGTTCAGATAAAAACGTTTTGATTCTCTGTTCATTAGTCTCTTTACAGAAACCGATAGCACAATAGAGGACTTTCATTATCGAACGATAAAAGTTATTTTTAAACCATACTTTGAAAGTGAAAATATCATTACAGCAAAGGAAAGGAAAATATGAACTAAGGGTAAAATTGAAGCACAACACAACCAACAAATTTGAATTTCTTGATGGCGGCTGTGATTAAACTATCACAGAATGCAAGTAANNNNGGAGGACCAAAAAGTTAAGAATCGCCTGGGGCGCTTACCGTATTCGAATAAATACGGTACTTACATCGCCGGAAAGCAATGTTTGAGAACACGCTTTCCTTTTGGGGTGGAGTTCCTCTAAATAGATCGACGTATCTCTGTATAGAAAAGATTCGCAGTTCACATATCGCATTACTTATGATATTTTCACTTTCATAGTAGGGTTTGAAAATAACTTACATCGTTCGATAATGAAAGTCCTCTATTGTGCTATCGGTTTCTGTAAAGAGACTAATGAACAGAGAATCAAAACGTATTTATCTGCACAACATGCAATAAACAGAAGCAAGGATTCAAATGATTAAATGGTAAACGAATTCAAACTCACCGTCTTCCATTTTTCACGTACAGAGCTGAATAACGTATACGCATGCGTTAGGTTTTGCCGCGGAAACACGGACTTTGAGTCGTTTGCGTGGTTGATTTCCTATTCTGTTGCTTCGAGGCGTCGTTTTCCTTGCCACTTTTCTTTTACAGAACAACCCTCAAAAAGTTGGTACACCCCGTAAAAATTTTAAAAATTAATTTAAAAAACCTCTGGAAATAGGAAATAGGAAAGTGCCTACGACGAAAACAGAGTTCCTTGGTTTTAAAAGGCAGCCCTTATTATTTTCCAGTGATTTCGCTAAATTTTAGACCTAAGACTTTTGAGCCCACGTTGTTGATCGCATACCCTCTGACGTAACATTTCATTATTCAGCCCTGTCTTTTGCACGCCCAAGTCAGATCTGTGCATGCGCGTGAATTTACCGCTGGACAAAAAAAAACTGTGGAAAATCAGGATTGGGCCGCCGGGCCGCCTGGCCGCCGGGCCATGGGTCGCTTTGAAGCGTTATTAGGGTCAAAATTAGAAAACAGATTATGTTATGGTGTTTGATATTTCATTTGGCCGAACTACAGAATTATGTTCCAGCGTTGCATGGAATTATGTTCGGCTCTTCTAAATTGAATAATTGTGATACGATCTTTATTATTACGTAGCTCTGAATTATATTCGGACGCTACCGAATTATGTTTTGATCGTCTAAACTATATTTTTCATTTTCAACTTTTATCGTCCCTGCCGCCGAATTTTGATTTTTGATATTTACATTCGGCCGAACTACAGAATTATGTTCTAGCGTTGCATGGAATTATGTTGGACTCTTTTAACTTCAAAAATTGTGATACGATTTGTGTTAGTAGGTAGCTCTCGATTATATTCGGAAGCTGCCGAATAATTTTTTTATTGTCTAAATTATATTTTCCATTTTCGACTTTAATCTTCCCTGCCGCCGAATTTTTACATTCTGTTGTTCGATATGACCTGCTAAATTATGTTTTGATTTTCTAAATTATGTTTTCGATCTTCTCTAAATTATGTTCGGCTGATGGACCGGGAATCGCAGTAAGAAAGCAACGAGAAACCCTGGGACGGGAAAAACTCCCGCCTTTTGTAATTTATATTCATAATTACCAAGTCCGACATCTTGGTTTCTATGGAAATGGCGGAGGAAGGTAGAAAGAGGGACCATGAAGAAGCTGAAGATGGAGAGAAGGCGAACAAAAGTCAGAAGGCAATAAGGCTTCTGAGAGAAGTCACAACTTTGTTGACCGAGTCGGTTAACGAGAGGGAAGCGAAGGAGTCCCTTGAAGAACTACAGCGAGTGAGACAATCCTCGAACACCATTTTGAACGACTTTCGTAACATTTTCAGCCCATACAAGATATCTCCTGCCGTCCTC